TGGGCGTTATTTTCAGGTGAAGACGGTAGGTAGGTAGTGAAAGACAAGAGGGGCAACAGTAGAGGTGCTGTCTCCTCGTATCAGCAGGCCCCCCACACCCTGTCTCCCTGTGCAGTTCAGGCATGGTCCCAGATGATACCAGCTGTCCCCTGGCCAGCGGTATCGCCCACCTGCAGGTAGGGTGCAGGTTCTGTGTTCTCTCGGGGACACGGTTGTGCGTGCTATGGGGGTGCTATGGGGGTGCTATGGGGTTCCCCATTGACTATAATCAGTAGTAGTGGGATGTGAAATTGAGAGAAGAATGTAGGTTAAAGTGGGGGGGAGGGGGAGGGGGGGGAGGGGAGAACATGGTTACATCTGTAAGTCAAGCATATCGTATGTCTTGGGGTTGTCGTTATTGGCTTTGCTGCTATGCTGTCATTCAGGACAAGGCCAGTGTGCTCCTACCATCCTCACCCAATTACAACACCCTGTCATTTTCAATGCATCTGGAGTGGAAAATGCCCCCAAATGCAGCTATAATGACGGGTTCTATTTGGGGGAAGACAGGATTGCTTTCGAACAGGCTCACGGGGGTGGGACTGAAGGGACTGAAAGGAATTCATCTGTCTGTTTTTTCCATGGTCTACTGCGGGCAGTGCACATAGATGCGCCGTGACTGAAGCATGGGCTTGCATGACAGTCGATACTTCCACAGCAAATAACCAACGCTGCGAAAGAATGGACAGTGTGTGTGCGTGTGTGTGTGTGAAGAGAGAGAGAGAGAGACAGAGAGCGAGAGAGCTGGGAATTTGTACAATAAACTCCAGAAAGATGCTGAAAACCCAAATTCAGGGTCAACGCTCTGTACAGGTCCGCCTTCTGCTCAGCTTTGCTAGTAAATGGGTGTGCGTCATTATCCACTTTTCAAGTGACAACGTTTGTGCCAAGGTCGCCATTTGGCGCATCCCTTTTCGTCATTCAATTTGAAGTTCGTCTCTCGACATGGTTGGCTCGCTCACACGCGAACTTTTCTGGTTGAAAATCTTTCCCGTCCTACGATCTGACGGTCAGATTTAATGCATTCATCTGGGCGGGTTGCCGCTGGGGGTGCGCTGCGAGACGTCGACTGAACAATGATCATTTGAAGGAGAAGGCGTAACAAGGCTTCCGTATTTCTTATCCCTACATTTTGCATTCCCGAGTCCTGCTGAGGTGCTGTGAGACGTTCAGTGAACCTAATAAAGACAAACAAAGGAGTTGTTCAACAGTACTTAAAAGAAAATTAGCCACAAACGAACAGGAAAAGAAGGAAACACAAAAAATAGCATGGCCTGCGTTTGCAACTACGAGTAGCATTCCAACTGACAAATTAAAGTCGGATTTCCGATTCCTAATTTCTTATCCCACCTTTTTCTATATAAATAGATTTGTTGCACGGGCGGTTTTCATTAGTTACTCACCCTATTGTCTAACACCTGTCTTTGTTTTTCACAGGGGGGTGGCTGGAGCTCGTCGTCCTCCACTTGCAGCGCCGAGTTCCTTACAAGCCCGAATCTGGACGTGTTTGAGGAGATGTGCGGTTGAGAAAATACGAACCGATTTCTCCACATCTCCACAAACACGTCCAGATTCGGACTCTGCCTAAACTCAGCACTACTGGTAGGACAACACCCCAGCTCTTACCACCCCTACTGTCTACCTCAATCGATGAAACAAATAAGAAACTAAAAGAACACAATCTGCTTTATTTTGTTTTTAAGTTCATCCGGTCGTCCGCTAGGAAACCCATAAGTATTTCAAAAGTTGACCCGCTGGGCAAAGCTTCTTTTTCGCTGTCGACATCAAGATGAGAATCAGGGAGCAAATGCACTAGATTGCTCAGTCTTTATTTTTCGGGCGTCTGAATTTCGCTGGGAGCCGATGGCCGCCATGTACCAGCTCTAGTTCCTGTCGACGACCAGCTCGATTTGGATTTCGCCCCTGGCCGCAGTTACTTAAATTTCAAATCGATACACGCAAATAAGGCCAGAAAAAAAAAAGACCAAATATCAGAAACAAATAGGCCCCTAATTGTGTTCATACGGGGAAAACCGTAGCAGCAAGACCCGAGTTCACGAGAGTACTACAAAGTAAGGTGAAATTAAGAGAAAAAGGTATCTTAAAACAGGATTAAAGGCGACAAAAAAAATACTCGACCCGTCCTGAATTTACACTGCCCGACGACAGCGGTGTTCAGATCGCTAACGTGATGACGACAACTCTTTACTCCTTCATTGTTCTCGACGTGATGATTAGACTTCCCAGAACCTGTCTCCCTCTCCTCGTTGACCATAGTGGCAGCTCAGCAGCAGCAGGATCGCACTTGGACTTCCCTTTCTCTTCTTGCCTCTTTCAGCATATTCAATCTTTCTTTTCTGCTATCTCAACCTACAGGTTCACTCCATTTACCACTTTCGCACCGAGTTAATTTTTTATTCGAGTTATTTTTTTTAATCGGCACCTCCGTCGACGTCCATGATGTTGTGGAAGAGTCTGGTCTCTCATCCACATACACAAGCGTGCAGGCGCACTCACGTATACACAAGATTGGTGAGAGTAACGAAGAGTTCCATGCCGGGAACATGACACACACGGGCCATGAGTTTTTTCAATGGTGGGAATGTATGTTAGGACTTATGGCCATGGTATCTCTGCGAGGAGGCTGAGGGAGTGCTTGGTATGGTATCATTCCCACAGGCTTCCCAGCCGCACGTGGAAGAACCGAAAGCTTGAGGGGTGTTTTAGGCAGTAGTGCTACTGGTATCGAGTGGAGACCTTATAAAAGTTGGGATATGATAGAGATAAGGGTGACGTGAGTGGGTCGTCTGCGATGAGTAGCGAAGTAGGTCCTCTTGTACTTGCGCAAACAATCTTGTGGCTCTGTGGACGGTCTCACGAGGGCTCTTCGAGTCTTTTTATAGACCAATGGCGGATGTCGTCACTGTTTGTTTGTGTAACCTTCTGTATTGCGGTACACATACTTCAGCGTTGCCTGTTACCCTCCATCCTATTATGGTTTATAACATATATATATTGTCACATTGTGAATCAGAGCGCAAAAAAGGGAAAAGAAAAAAGGAAAAGGAAAAAAGGGAAAGGGAAGGAGGTAAGGAAAGCTC